ATAGAGAATTTGTTTTTGGAAGGATAAAATGATGTTGAAGATAAAGACCATAGCAGCATATCATCCACATGATTTTTCAAAAAAAAATGGATCATGCTATAATTCAAAGGGATCAATGCTTAACAGAAGAAACATTAGCCAACACCACAGACATCTCAATTAGCTCAGCAAACACAATTCTGACTGAAAAATTAAAGTGGAACAAACTGTCTGCTTAATAGGTGCCAAATCTCTTTGACCAGATCAGCTGCAGACAAGAGGGGAAATATTGAAACAAGTCGGGTTGTAACAAGGGTTAAAATAGGTTCCACCAGAAGAATTCTGGGCACAGAGCCCAGTGAAAGCAATGACCACCAATAGGTGGAAGCAGTCTGGTCAAGGCAAAAATGGGCTGGTAAAGAGCAAAGGTCATGACAAGAATTTTGGGGGAAGATCACTTGTTCACTTTCTGGGGGATCAGAGAACAATAACATCTGCTTATTCCAAGAGAATTTTGAGAGCATTAGCCAAAGTTTTAACAGAAAAGTTCCCAAGAAAACATCACCAGAGAATCTGTCTCCACCATAACAATGTACTTTCTCATTCCTCTCATCAAACCAGGGCAATTTTGTGAGAGTTTAGATGGAATAATCAGTCCTGATTTGGCTTTTTATGACTCTTTTTTGGTTCCTGGTCTTAAAAAAAAATCTTTAAAGGGGACCCATTTCTTAAATCATGGTAAAAAAAAAAAACTGTATTGTCATGGTTAAACACTCAGAAATATCAGTTTTTTAGGGATATATTAAACAGCTGCTTTAATTGCTTACAACTTATCTTAAACTTGATGGCGCTTATGTTGAGAAACATAGTTTATACTTTTTTCTGATAATTCCATTTTTCCATGAGGTTTTAAAAATCCTCTTATAATTTTATCTAAAGAAGACCGCTTTAAAAATGAATGTGGTAGTGATATCTATAGACTCTGGCATAGGGCCTCCTCCACTACAACAAACTTCGCAGCATAATCCCCAGGTCAACGTTGGCTTGAAGATTAGGGAAATGCAGACAATGCCTGATGGCAGGATGCAGAGAGTTATTTTGTGCTCTTGTGGGAACTATTAGCAATTCTTGACAAGTCCTTGGCATAGCAAGTGTAAATCCCTGTCCACAAACTCTTGTACGGAAGAATGATCACATCCTTTTTCTCTGTAACCCAAATCAATTTCTCTTTTCAACCTTCATCCTGCCTAGCTGCTAAAACCATTTTCCTCAGTGTTTATTGGTTTTAAGAATTCCCACTTCTTTCTCATCCCTAGAGTTAGGCCATATGGTCTAAACGTTGGTGGTAGAGGAGTCTTCTAGTCCTTCATCATCAATCTGCATATTTCCAAGGGCTCTATCTACACGGCCCATGCAGACCATGAAGAATACCTTCAGCTGTTTCAGGGCCACCCTCAAGCACAAGAATCTTTGCTGAGAGGGCCTGTGGTCCTGCCTAGACTCAAAGTTGCAAGTCAGTGGTGCAGAGGTTGCATCTGGCCTGCAGATGTGCTTTGTTTGGCATACTCTGTGTTTTAAAAACATTTAAGCCAACCTTTAAAAGTTCGACGAGTTCACTAAAAAAATAAAATTTCTGGCTTCTCTTGGAAAGCAGAAAAACCAGCAAGAAGGAGCCACCTTTCCACGTGGCAACAGTGGCAAGAGCTGAAAAGGGGCTGTTCGCTTTTCTCTCCTGCTTGCAACAAGGCTATCAACCTCATTCTCTCTCCAACATCGAGGCAGGGGCTAGCTGACATCATTCAAATATTTGCAAGTTTGTACTGTGTGATCCCTACCAGCTATTTACTGTGCCAACTGCCTTTGCCACAGTGGATGTTTGAGGTGTTCTGAGGTTTCCTTTACTGCCTCCCCAGGGCCACCCAGTAGACTGAGTGTTATAGACTGAATGTTTGCTTTCAGGTATCTAACTGTAAGGACTTATCAGTTATATGAACAAATTCCATCTTTTATTTAGTCAAAACACAATATGCCCAATGACTTCATACTCTCTGTACTGGTCTGGTGGCATGGCTGAGCTGTTAATGCTGGAAGAATGTATAATTATGTAACTAAATGCCAATATACCCTGAAATGGGAAGGATGGCCTCCAGTTCAGAAAACCCTTGCCATATATTGGGGACGCATGCACAGGAGCAGATCCAAAAATCCAGGCAGGGAAAGTGACTGTAGTCAACGCACATTCAAATCGAAGTCTTCAGGAGAAAGCCAACAAAAACTCCATTTCTGGGGCTCACAATAAAATAGCAAGGAGCCAGTGTGCAGGTAGCCAAGCACACTGGAGGGCACGGAGGGCTCTGCTGAATGCACTGAGATGCACTGTAAACATTTACAGATTGGAAAGCAGAGGGTTCTATGTAAACAGCCATGAAGGCCCAGTAACAAAGAAGCTGCATCCTGGTACAGAATGTCTTCAGGCCACAGAAAGGAGCTCTCTGGGCTGCGACATTGTGACAGAATGCCGGGCCAAAATGGAGGTACTCACTTAGCTGCTGGCTAGACTTACCGCCAGAGCATGGGGGATCTGATATCTGAAACTCATTACATGCTTACTAGTTCTCACTCCAGGGTTGCCTTCAAGGATTTTCCCTATTCTTGGTAAATTTAACTAATTTAAATAAATAAGTAATACTATTTCCTCCCAGCTACCTGGAGTGAACCTTCTAATCCCCCTGACTTTGGAAGTTAACATTCTAAGCCTCTTCAGAATCTTGCCTCCACAGGGTCCAGTTGTTTGGGCATGCCATGGCTCATATACACAACTCCAGGGACCACTGAAGGAGTCTTCCCTAATCACTTTTCTGCAGGATGATTTCTTTACTAGCAAAACTTTGGGCAATCACTGCACATTACTCAAAAATTAGTCATTGAATGATCAGTCTCTAGTTAACAGACAAATATTGTTATACTCATTTAAACACAAATGGCACAGAAGCAAACAAAGAAAACAAAAACAATTTATAGTTCTCTGGAGAGGGAAGAAATGTGTCAAAGACAAAGTTGTGGGAAACTAATAGTGCTACAAAGCCATTACATGTCTTTGGGACTGATATCTCCAGAAGTCAAACATAGCAAATTTATGAGTTGTTAAAATAATGCCGGATTTCTGTACTGTCTGGTAACAGTCTAAAAGCAATCGTATTAAATGGTATTTTCCAAAAAAAAAGAAAAATTAATCAATCAGCCAAGGAATAGCAATCATATCAGCAAGCCCATTGCAACATCCAGACATGCTTTCTCTTTGGAAATTAAAGATGATAAGTGCAGTGGCCAGAAATGAATACCCTGTTGTTTATTTCAGATTTGGTGGAGGTAGGGATGGCACCGTGTATTGAGGAAGACCTGTTTTTTCCACCCCTGAAGAGATCTCTCTTTTCCCACTTTTGCCTTTGTTCACATACTAGATGGACTGTGATCAACCAGACCCCAGCCTTTCATCAGAGGTCTTGCAAGGCACTGGCTCTGGCAATCAAGATGAGACAAATCCAGCCCAACTCATCTCTGATCCCAAAGGCTCGGCACCTCCTCCTATCTCTGGTCCTCAGTTCAAATGTTCCCAGCCCAGCTCCTGGCGTTTGAGCAGCATCTGGATGATGCACTAAATGTCAGTGTGGTCCATGGTGAAAGATTCGCTGGGAGGCCAGGAGAACAAGGGAGGAAACAGACAGCTGAGGAGGAGGGCAGCGTGTGAACTCGCTTGCTTAGGCGCCTGGCAGGGTTCCCGGCATCAGACTACAAACTCAGTAAGAAACCATTGGAAAAGATTCAGCCTAAACATACCTCAAACAAAAGGCAGAGCCACATCAGAATTAGAAATTCTTAGAACAATATGATAAATGACTTTTTTTTTTTTTTTGACAGGCAGAGTGGACAGTGAGAGAGAGAGACAGAGAGAAAGGTCTTCCTTTGCTGTTGGTTCGCCCTCCAATGGCCGCCATGGCCGGCGCACCGCGCTGATCTGAAGCCAGGAGCCAGATGCTTCTACTGGTCTTCCATGGGGTGCAGGGCCCAAGTACTTGGGCCATCCTCCACTGCACTCCTGGGCCACAGCAGAGAGCTGGGCTGGAAGAGGGGCAACCGGGACAGAATCCGGCACCCCGACTGGGACTAGAACCCGGTGTGCTGGCGCTGCAAGGCGGAGGATTAGCCTAGTGAGCCGCGGCGCCGGCATAAATGACTTTTACTGCAACTTATATCACTTATTATACAGCTTCACAATTAATATAATTTAGACTTATGCTTTCTAATATGGTAGGCACTACTCAGACATGGCTATTTAAATGTTAATTAGTTGAAATGAAATAAAAATAAAAATTCAATACCTCGGGCCAGTGTTATGGCAAGGAAGGTTAAGCCACCTCCTGCAACACCACTGGCATCCCATATGAGAGCATTGTTCGGTGTCCCGGCTGCTCTGCTTCTGATCCCATTGCTAATGCTCCTGGGACAGCAGAGGAAGATGTCCCAAATACTTGGGCACCTGCCACCCACATGAGAAACCTGGGTGGAGTTTCTGACTCCTGGCTTTGGCCTGTCCCAGCCCTAGCTGTTTTGGCCATTTAGGGAGTGAACCAGCAGTTGGAAGATCTCTCTCTCTCTCTGTCTCTGTCTCTCTCTCTCTCTCTCTCTTTCTCTCTGTCTCCATCTCTGTGTGTCAATCTGCCTTTCAAATAAATAAAATAAAACTTTAAAAATGATCAATACTTCAGTTGCACATATATTTCTTTTTATTTTCTAAAAAGCATTTATTTCTTTGAAAGGCAGAACAACTGAGAAAGAGGAATATGTATACAGAGGATGAGAGAGAATTAACATTTAATACCATTATGTGCTATAATAGTATTTTATGTACCATTTAATTTGAAAAATAGGTGAAAAGTGTGTGCTTCCCCCTAAGAATTTACAATTCAGTTGTGAACATGGATATAGATACATAGAGTATGACATCATAATAGAGTCCCAAGACTGAAAATCAGGGAGACTATAATTAAATCTTTATTTAGTTTTGTGGTCCTCGACAAGATACATAATCTCTCTTAGTCTCACTATCACATCTGTAAAATTATTATAAAACTAGGATCTACCTCCTTACTTTTCCTCCAAGAGAGAATTTTCAGGTCTAATCTTTAAAGATGGATATATCCTTTGAATCACTTAAAGGAGTTAATAAATCAGGATACAGTCCATGCTGCTAAAACTGATCTAAATTTATCAATTATGTTCATCACGTCCCATCTCCACCATCCGTTCTAGATTTTGTTTTTTTAACTTTTGGCCAGTACTCTGAATGGTTGACAAATTGTTGTAACTTGCCTGAGACTGTAATACTTCTGGGATTCAAGAGTCAGTTTTGAATCCCATTTTTCCTGGGACAAAGGTATACCATGAGACGCAGGACTTTCAGTGTTTAAACTGACAAAGTCTCAGACAAATTGGGGTAGGTTCATCACTCTTTTGGGGTAACTCAGATGTTAAACCTCAATAATAAAATAATGAAAAAAGTAACTTTATTTTTTCCAAGTACCATCCTATAGTGAACATTAATGTAAAATATTGGTGTTTGCATACTTTGTGCTACCAATAAAAACCAATCAGGTGTAGGCAAGGAAAGATTTTATTTAAGAAGACTATTGCAACAGGGAGAATAATCTGACCATAAGATCCTCTATAAGACACATAAGCACCTCAAAGGTCAGACAGAAAATTGGAAGTACAATGAACAGGTGACATGATAGGAAAGTTGCTCAGTGAATGTTTTTCTTTGCAGTCAGTCACTTGTTAGGAGAGGTTGCTTAGAAGATTGCTTGCAGTAGATACTTGTTTAATCTCAGGGACAAGTCACAGGTCAGAGACTGGTAGTAGACAACCTGACTACAGTTTGTTTAAGCTAAGTTAATTGATGGAGATGAAGAGTTCAGCTAACCTGTTATAAGCTAAAGAATGGAAATTTCGAGGATCTTTGATTTGGTCATAGGTCAGCAAGGGACTTCTATGAGTCTTATCACTTTGACAATGATGGTTCTTTGCAGGAAACAGTTTTCTAGAACACTAAATGATGTGTGGGTTGAGGGGTAATTATCACCGTTTTCCAGATGCACAGGGCTCACTTAATGATCTTTCATCATTGAACAACTCAGTGAAGCCAAGCCAGATCTCTTAAGGACTCTTGTCGGTGTTGTTCCTTCAAAGTCACTTAAATAATCAATGGTGTGATGGTGCCAAAGGTCAATTGTTTTACAATCCTACAGATCAAGGCATCCTAAGAGACAGAAACCTAAAAAAAAAAAAAAAAAAAAAAAAAAAGGCATTAACAGAACCAGGAGCTGAACACGGAGGGTATTCAGTCTAGTAGATTCCAAGAGATCAATGAATAGAAATCCCATGTAGCACTGCTCCTTCAGTATCTTGAGACTAAGATGTTGATGTCCTTGGCAATGCTGTCATCAGTGATGGGTACCTCTCTGAGGGCATGTCCAATACAAGCAAATTATCTGGCTTCCTTAGTGACCCAGACAACTCATCTATAGGGAGAAATCTGGTCCGGTCACAAGGCTTTTTCATGTTCTGTCTGGAAAGGCCAACTACAGAAACCATAGAGTCCCTATAAGGATCTTGGTAGTCAAGTTTTAGTCGTGGTGACACCAAGAAAGAAGGGTAGGAGAAAAATTGGAAATGCTGATTGAAATCTTATTGTCAGATGTCAAAGGATTGAAATTTGGGGGATAGGTTGAAAGTTTCTGCAAGGTAACATATTCCAATCCAATTTATGCACCAATTAATTCTACAGGACAAGCTACAATTTACAAATCCTTCAGTTACTTGAAATTTACAAAAAAGATACAAAATAGATAAAAGACAATGAATACAGCAATTAACTCTACCAGACAAGAGAGTTTATAAATCCTAAAGTTACTTGAAATTTACACACAAAAAAGATATAAAACAGATAAAAGATGATGAACAGGAGGAGAGTCTGGTAACTCAGACATTTAGCTCTGGGGTAGTAATAGTATTGAAGGAAAGCTTCATAAGAGTCGGAGAACTCAAAAGGCTTCCATAGCCTTGGAAACTCATGACTGGAGCATAGGGAGATTACCGATGCCATAAACAGGAGTGTCAATTTGTAAAGTCAACAACGGGAGTCACTGTGCACTTACTCCTCATGTAGGATCTCTGTCCTTAATGTGCTGTACATTGAGATCTAATGTTATAACGAGTACTCAAACAGTATTTTTCACTTTATGTTTCTATGTGGGTGCACACTGTTGAAATCTTTACTTAATGTATACTAAACTGATCTTCTGTATATATAGAAAATTGAAAATGAATCTTGATATGAATGGAAGGGGAGAGAGAGCGGGAAAGGGGAGGGTTGCGGGTGGGAGGGAAGTCATTGGGGAGGGGGGGAAGCCAACGTAATCCATAAGCTGTATTTTGGAAATCTGTATTCATTAAATAAAAGTTAAAAAAAAAGAAGGAAAGCTTCTCTATGTAGTGATCAGTTTAATAGTTTGATCCACATACTTCTTCAAAGAAATCTTCTTCCCCAATCTTTCAACTTTGCTATCTACAAACTCTTGTTTTTTTCTTTCTTAATTTTTTTAAAAAAATTATTAATACAAACAAAACAGATTTCATACGTTACACAGGTACAATTCTAAGAAGATAACCATACTTCCTTTCCTCCTTCCCTCAATCCTCCTCCTTCCTTCCTTTCTCTTTTTCTTTAATTTTTACAAAGACAAAATTTCAATCCACCCTGTAATCACAAGGCTTCCATAATACATGTGTCACTGAGTATCTAGGTTACTTATGCTTTCTGATCATCAAGTTCAGTTAGCATGATAGCATTCATCCTGGGCCAACACGATGTTCCAAGGGAAGTCAAGACAATCAAGATTCCTTCATTTTGACAAAAAGAGTTAGTACTAAAACTCTGAAGCAGAACAGTGAGTAGAGTCTCTGCCACATTGCTATATAAAGTGAACTTTTCTTGTATGCTGCCTTACTTAAGGAAAAAAAGAGAGAATGTGTTGCCCAACAGTTGCCAGAAGCCTTGCTGATCTGCTCCAGCAAAGAGACCACATCTGGTAAAGCAGCTGTCATTTGCCTACAATCTGATTAAGTTTTTTCCATTCCCAATCTGTTTTCTAACAGGGCAGGAAATGAATATTAGGGTTTTATCAGTAGCTATCTATCCCAATTATAAATTCTAGAGCTAGAGAAATAATGGCCAGTTGAATTCATAGACAAACTTATTCCCCAACAAAAAGGACTCAAAGCCATTCTTCAATAATTATTAGGCATCTGTAAGTCCTCACTCTAAGCAAAGGATGAGGATGACAATGTCAACCCAAAACTCTAACTTGAAATACATAGCTATTCTTTTTTCTGACATGTGCTATTACTCTATAAAGTCCAGGAGAAATCACAAACTATTGTATGCAAGGCAAGTTCACTATGGCATATGAGCTAAATGTGTATGTTTTGGGATTTGTTTCAAGACTCACCAAGTACTAGAGGTTTATTTTCTGTATCTCTGTGCTAATCCAGAAATACCATAATTATTACAGCTTCATTATTATCTATTAGAGCGTGTAAATTCCATGAATATTCTGGACCTTTTGATCTTTCATTTAAGCTTCAAAATCAGCTTGCAAACTTTTGTGAAAAAAATGTAACGTAATTTATGATGGATTTGCTTTTTTGAGAGTCATTGTTTACATATGAAACAGTAGTTTAAGGTTTTGGCAGCTACAAAACAGAAATTGTCTTGGGATTGAGGCAAGTGAATAAAAATTGAAGAGAATAAGGATACAGTTCTGACAACTGATAATTCCCTTTGCAAAGTTTTTACTGTTTTATAATAAAGGTAAACTCTTGGATGGATAGATAGATAGATAGATAGATAGATAGATAGACAGATAGATCTTTTGAAAAGAAAGGTTATAAGGGAAAGCATGAAGGGAATATAGCTTTAAAACAAACGTTGAAGGATTATATTTTGGTTTTCATTATCAATCAGCTAGAAAACTTTTAAGGTATTTGAAGATTGGAGGAAAGAAACAGAAAGGGTGAAGAGAAGACCATAAACACTGTAGAAAGAAATAAAAGACTAAATCAATGAAAAAACTATTCCATTTTTTCTATTTAGGAGACTTGATAAGGTTATGATGGTACTACTTCCCAAACCGATGCACAAATTCAACACAATACCTATCAAAATGTCTGCATTCTGTTTTTGCAGAAATTCATAAAAGATCCTGAAAAGTGTATGAAAATTCAAGAGACCCATAATACCAAATTTTTTGAATAAAAGAACAAAAGTTTAGGCATCATGTTTCACAATTTCTTTTCTTACTTAATTAATTTATTTGAAAGTCAGAGTTACAGAGCAAGAAGGGGAAAGAGAGAGAGAAAGAGAGAGAGAGAGAGAGATCTTCATCTGCTGGTTCACTCCCCAAATGACCACAACGACTAGAGTTGGGTCAGGCTGAAGCCAGGAGCCAGGAGCCAGGAGTTTCATCACAGTCTCCCATAGAGGCAGCAGGGACCCAAATAGTTGTGTGGGCTCATCCTGCGAGGCCCACACTGTCAGGATGGTGGAGTGACAGCATTCTTCAACAAGAAGCATCAGAGACAGTTTCAGTGAACATAAGCATAAAAGCATAAGCTTTTATAGGGTAGGCAAAGGGGAGTAGCTAGCTCAGGGTAGCAACACTAATTCTATAGGATAAAGCCAATACTGTTGCTGCCATGCTTTTCCAATCAGCTTGATAGTCACATAGCCCACGTAGCCTTCCAGGCAGTCTTATGGGTCTGGGCCACACCCAGGAGCTGTTTATCTAGCTGACAGTTACAAGGTCCAAAACAGGAAGCAGGGGTGGGGGAAATGTCCCTGGCATCCCTGCCGCCTGCCAGCAGTCAGGCCATATGTGGGTCTCAGTGTGCTGAGTCCTCAACCAGGGTTTTTCCCAGTGTGGCATGGTGTGCCATGCGCTTTTGACCTCCTGCATTGGCTAGGCAGGCAGTCTTTCAGCCAGGCAAAGGACCACCCACATAGTTGGGCCATCTTCTACTGGTTTTCCCAGGTTGTTAGCAGGGAGCTGGATCAGAAATGGAGCAGCCGGGACACAACCTGGCACCCATGTGGGATGCCAGCATCACAGGCAGCAGCTTTACCCTCTACACCACAATGCCAACTCCACAATTTCAAAACTTAGTACAATGCTACAGCATTAAGAGAATATAGTTCTAACATGAGGATAGACATAGAGACCAATAGGATAGAATTTAACTAAAAAGGAAAAGCTCTCATATTTATAATTAATTGTTTTTTCAACAATGCTGCTGAGACAGATCAATGGTGGCACACTGGACATTCAGATGTGAAAGAGTAAAGCTAGACCCTTCCCTTACACATGCACCCAAAAATAACACCACATGGAAGCTAGACATAAATGTAAGAAACACATAGCAGAAAACACAGAAGTAAATCTTAATGACCTTGCTTCACAAAGTCCTTTTAAATATGCCATCAAAAGCATAAACAACAAAAGAAAAACTAGACAGTTGGACTTCATCAAAATTAAAATATTTGTGTTTCAAATAACAGTATCAAGACAGTGAAAAGACAACCCTAAACATAGGAGAAGATGAATTATATCTCAATAAAGCTGTTTTAAAAAGGATTTTAAAAGAAAATACCATGACCTAGGCACTGAAAAACCTTTTGCCTGGTATCTCACCTGTATCAGGACTTGTCTCTCAGTGTCAAGTCCCAGGCTTACTTGTGTATTCAGCCATTCTTTCACTTTAACTCTCACAGCAATGATGAAATGTAGGAACCAAGGACAGCTGTTTCTGTACTTAACTTTCACTGTGAATATTTATCTGGGTCATGTGAAAATGAAAAGAGCTCTAACTCAGAATTATATTAGACTTGGAGAAAAATTTGAAGCATATCATTTACTTATTTTCATAAATAAAAATTGGCCACACAATTACTATGCAATTATTCTGTAATATAGCATATATATAGCTGTTGGGTTTTAAAAATCAATAATTCCCCAATACAATCCCATCAAGGTTGCATGTACCAATGCCATTTCACTAGTCCAAGTGATCAATTTCTGTTCACAATTGATCACACTGATAGGTCTAAGAGTCAAAGGGATCACACAAACAGATTAGTGTCTGCTAATACTAACTGATATAATCAAAAAGTGAGATAACGATCCATCATGGGAAGCGGGATACACAGCAGACTCATAG